AAAAGAAACACAATATACTATATCATTATAAGAATAAACCATTACAATTCTATATATACTTATCTAATACAAATATTCAAATTTGTATATATTTATTTCTAATACACTAATATAACTATCATGCTTTTTTTTTAACCTACTGTATTTTATATAAATGAGTCCCATATTTCATTATACTTGTCCATCAAAGTCTATGTCTATAGGCAATCCACTCATTAGTGACTAGTGTAATCAGGTCTTCAATCTATTGAGTAAATGGGGCCATACATTTATCTTTCCAATGCTTCAATATCAGTTTTTTGGCCATAATAAAGGAACAAAGAATCCATTTATATTGTCCAGTTATCAAATTCCATGTACTAGGTATGTAATTCAAGAGAATATTGTCCTCTGGAAATTTTACCTTTTGTCAGAGTCATATTTATATAGTCCACTACTTTCTTCCAAAACAGGACATATAGGACATTGTAAAAATATGTGTTTTAAAGAAGCATTATCCTTATTACATCTCCAACAAAATGTTGTCTTAGACAATTCTTTTCTATACAAACATAGTGAAGTCCAATAAATTCTAAATATTATTTTTTGTTGTATAAGTCGTAGTTGAAGGTCCACTGACACTCTTGCTATAGAAGTTAAGACACCCTTCCGTTGTCTAGGCAATATAGGGGCCTCTAATTCTTTATTCCACTTATTTCTTAGCATCTGCATATCAAATTGATTTATTGATAACAAATATCTATAAAAACTTATAGTAGGTTTTTTAGTTTTAAAAAATTTAACAAGCTGTTCTAGTATCTCAGATGTTTCAGAAGCTGAAAATGCTGAGGGTCCAAACAGTGTTGTTAACAAATATTGTAACTGCAAATATTCCCATTGGGTTACATCTGATAGATGATATTTATCTCTTAACACAGCATATGTTAAAAATTCATTTTCGTCATCTATCAATTGGTCCAAAGTCAATATCCCTGCTTTCATCCAATTTTCCACATCACCATCTTTTCCCCAATTTTTAAAGTTGGGTTTCCCCATAAAGTCAAGCTAACATGGAAAAGGAATTAGACATTACATTCCATAGCTTTCTAACTGACGTAATTGTTTCCAGAGATACTAGAGTAATTAGACATTACATTCCATAGCTTTCTAACTGACGTAATTGTTTCCAGAGATACTAGAGTAATTAGACATTACATTCCATAGCTTTCTAACTGACGTAATTGTTTCCAGAGATACTAGAGTTCTAATAGATTTAGACCCTAATACTGTCCATCCAACATGTATATTCCAATGTTGCCCAAATTGGAAAGAACACCAATTGTTAGCTTCCAGTATTTGATACTTGACAATAGATAAGCTTGATGATATAGCTCCAGATTCGGAAAACTGAATCCTCCATTAGTTGGTAATTGCATTTCTGCAAAGATATTCTCGGAATTGAAGAACCCCATAGAAATTTTCTAAACAAATAATTTATTTTCTGAAAATATTTTCCAGATATATAAACTGAAATTCCTATTCTGTATTTTTCATTTACAAGAAGAGAGATGAAACCACAGTGCCATCCCACTTGGGAAGTCGTCAATTTCTTTGCTTTTACTTTTTATTTTTTTTCAGGGTTCTTTTCAATCTCTTTAATAATGTTATTTGCTTGTCTTTATTTTTTTGCACAATCATGTTTTTCTATTTTTCTTTTAAGTATAGATTATATATATATGTAATAGAAAGGTATTTGAATGCTTAATTGTGTCTTTATGGAGTTTTACTTCTGTGAGCTATACTAGAAAGCATGATAAATATTTAAACATAGACAAATTTATTATTAGATATTTGTTAAGTGATACAGGTCATAAATGAATTGGTCCTGGAAGAATATTGATTAGTGGACCAAAATAAAATTAATGGATGAAGTTAGTCTTAAAAGGGTTGCGAGAATCTAAGAAATCTTAGCATATTTAAAACTGTTAAAGGCAAATACTGCTTATCTATCAGAAACTCATCTAGCGGAACAGGATACATTTCTATTAATGTTGGATTGGGTGGGTCAGATTTACTTCGATGAAAGCTAAAGGCGTGGCCATTTTGGTTCAAAAAGGATTTTCAATTTATGTACAACAGGTTATTACTGATGTAAATAGGCATTATTTAATTTTATGTGCTAAAATAGGAGGGACTGTAATAGCTATGGTTAATGTTTATGGACCTAATTTAGATTATCCTATTATGTTTTATGAATATTTTCACCACTTGAATGAGTGCATTTATGACAAAGTGGTAATAGGAGAAGATTTTAATGAAATATTGGAATCTGAGCTTGATAAAAATACACCAGCACGGAAAAAATAATCATTAACAAGGGAAACGATTAAGATTTATATGGAAGAACTGAATTTAATAAACCCTTGGTGTTTGATGTATCCAACTAAAAGAGAATATACATATTATTCAAATGTACACCAGAATTTCTTTAGGCTTGATTATTTTTTAATATCATCGACTTTATATCACCAAACTCAAGAATGTAATATTGATGTTTGTTATGTATCAGACCATAGTGCAATACTTTGAATTGTTCATTTCAGAAACCAAAGTATTGAGAAATTGGTATTTCAATGTCTCCTTATTGAATGATTTTGTACAACAAATGTGGGTAGAGACTTTGCAATACTGTGATTTGAATTTAGAAACATCAAGTGCCCAAATTTTTGAAAGGATAGCACATAAATCATATATCCGAGGTTGAATTATTGCTTATCCATAATATAAGAATAATATTAAAAGTAGCAATGGAGGCGAATATATGTAGCTCAGGGTTGAACTGTGGAGCCCTGGGGGTTCTCTGAGCTTGGTTAACCAAGCTCAGAGAACCCCAAGGACTCCACAAGATTAAAAGTAAAAGGGAAAATAATTTGAAAGAGTAATTGAAGCATTTATGGGCACAAATGGTTAGATGCCCATCTACTACTTTGTTCAGAGAAATACAGGAGACTTCCAGTGGCTGGCCTGGTGGTTTGACTGTCTTCAAGCTTGGAGACAGCCCCTCAGCTGTTTTTTTAGCACCCAGAGGGAATGTGGGATGCTTTAAATCCCTCTGGATGAAGGAGGAAACTTGAAATCAACCTATGTGTTCGCCGGATGGCTGCTCCTCATGAGTAAATCACAAGAACTGAGGTTTTTGCGAGGAACCCATGAGTGGAGCGGGTGGGAGGAGAGGATTACAACTTTGTTCAAAGCTGAGTAGCAGCCTGTTTAATGGACACTAATAGTGACCGACCCCCATTTCTAATGCACATTTTAAATGCAAATTATTCTTTGCTTTAAAAGAGGCTTCTTCTTACACCAGATAAGTATTCCTCTTGTCACTTTTCATTTTGGGGGGGGGGGGGGTTGGAAATTAAGAAAGATTGGTAGAATTAAAATAGTATTTTTTGGATTATTCACAAAAAGCTGATATTAAAGTGGCAGAAGAAAGTTAACAATGGGGAAAAGGGGTGATTTTAGTTTTTTTAAGGTTTTTTTTTCTAGTTTATTTTGTCAAGAATCTGCTTTGCAAAATCAGAGTTACTTTAACAGGAATCCACTTCTTCATGAGAAAGATTTTTTGTTTAATGTAAACAATCAGGCAATTGGCTGGGATTATATTTCAAAGAGAAATTATAATCAGTTTGGTTTATTTTTTGCTTAGTTTAGCTTTTCCTTAATAGAGACACCTCCTGGCAATTGCCTGTAATTTCCCTTTTTAACCATTTTTTTTAAAAAGTGGACTTTAGCTCAGTAGAGACACCAGTTGACTACTGTTTGTAATTACATTTTAAAGTCAAGGAATTATCGCATTTTTTAATCTTTCTTTTTCTTTTTGGGAGGTTTTTCCCCCTTCCTTGTTCTCACCTCTCTTTTCAGTGATACATCTATATTTTGGGGGGATTTTCGTAATGGCAACATGCAGAACACGTTTGGAGGCTAGAAGAACCTCTATGGAGCAGCCAATCGAAAAGGAAGATAAAGAAAGAGAAGATAAACCAATTTCTGCTAATCTATTTAAATTGATGATCAATAAATTGAGAGCCAAACTGACTTAGTCACTAGATGTTAAATTGGATGCCAAATTTTCAAATTTTGAAAAAAAGATTGAACAAAGAATGGATAAGATAGTTTTGTAAAACAAGTGATTGTAGATATGAAACAGATGTCAGAAGAAATAAAACAAATGACAGGATGGAAATCTTAGAGAATAAATCAACAATTAGAAATTCAGAATTTGAAAGAGGGATGGATAATTTGGCATGGAACTGAGAGAGAAAGAGTTCTGCCTGCGATTTAGAGCCATTCTGGAATCACCAAAGGAAGATATTAAAAGAAAGTTGACTCAGGCATTCGCGGAATTCTTAGATTGGGAAGAAGAAGAGTTGTTATACGTAAAAGCTTGTTATCCATAAGTCAATTTGATATGCACATTTGAAAGACTGAATGGAATAACTTAATTCGATTTAGGACCACCAACTCCAGGATGACTCTGGAAATAATGAAGTTGAAATCCTCATTTTGTCTAAAGAGCAGAAACTCTGCTTAACATCCTTAACATCTGCATCAAACATTTCAATAGATCTTAGACATAGCTTATTCAACAAAAATAATATTTCAGGCTTACTGGACTTATTCAGGACTTATTCAGACCTAGTGTGTTTGTACAGAAAGGAACAAATAAATCATTGTGTTGTTGGAAATGTAATAATAACAGTTCATTAAAATGTATGTTTTGCAATGTCCTACAATTGTTTTATTATGTCATTGAACACTTTAATTTGACAGGGTTTAATATTTTTGGACATCCATATTCTTTTGAAACACAGGCCTATTACATGGAATTGATTGGTAGATAATGGAAATGGATTCTCCACACATTTCTTATTGCTAAGAGATTTATCCTTAAACATTGGAAAATATAAATTTATGGCCCATCAGTTCTGTGGATTGGTGTTACTTGTAACTTACAAAGAATACTGACAGATGTAATTTATATGTTTATGATTATAAGATAATATGGTTATATTTATTGAAACTTTATATATATGTATGAGAAACCCTAATATATATGTCATTTTTTTCTTTTTTTTCTGTTTAGTTTAAGAAGAAAGAAAAAAATTGTTTTAAAAAAAGGAATCAATTCAGAGCAAAATAGTAAAGGTTTTAGAAGCCAAGTCCTATGAGGAATGGTTAAAAAATCTTAGTATGTTTAGCCTACAGAAAAGACAACTGAGGATAAATATGAGAGCAGTCTTCAAATATCTGAAGGCCTCTCACACAGAAAATCGAGTGGATTTACTCTCTGTTGCTCCAGAGGGCAGGACCAGAACCAATGGGTTAAAACTACAAAGAAGCAGGTTCAGAATAGGCATTAGAATTGCTTCCTGACTGTACAAGCTGTCAGCAAGTAGAACAGGCTGCCGTATGAAGCAGTGAGGTTTCTTTCACTGGAGCTTTTTAAACAGATACTGCATGGTCGTCTCTCAGAGATGTGCTACTGAATCCTATGCCAAGCATGGGATTGGATTAAATGATCTCTAAGATTCCTTCCAACCCTATGACTCTATGAAATCATTCAATACTAAATAAAGTAAATACTGACTGCTCACTGGGTGGAAGCACTAATAATAAAATAAGGCTTAAATATTTTGGACACATAATGAGAATGCAAGAGTCAGTGGAGAACTGATGCATGGAAAAAGAGACCAACAGGAATGATGTCCATTGAGTCATGAAGAGCTGGAACCAACTGAACAAAACCAACAACAATAAATCAATTTCCTGTTATGATATCTTGACCTCTTCTTCTCTTGGAATTTTAAATTGCTCTTTTGAGAATGCTTTTGTATTTCATCTCTACATTGCTGTTATTGCTCTTTGGATTCCTATTTCTTTGACTTTGGTAGGCTTCTTTCATTTATGTCTTCATTTCCTGATTTTACCTGGTGTGTTCTTGAGATATTTTGGCTTTGATTCCAGACTTGTTAAAGATTATAACATACAGATTTTCCCCCAATCCTGCAAATTTCCACAGACTTTCAACTTCAAGTAAAACAGTGTGTTTCTTTGAACATCACGAGTTTATTTTTTGAGAAATGATCTGTATCTTTGTGTGTGTGTGTGCGCGCGCATGCGCACGCACACATATTTGGAGGAACAAATATGTTACCTCAATTTGGAGATTCAGACCACCATCTCTGCTTTGCATTCAGCATTTGGCCTGACTTCATCAGTTTGTCTCTAGTGAAACAAGCGTGAAGGAGAAAATTTCAAAAGAGCTGGTTGTGCTTTGCAATCTCTGCCTTTTATGTAGAATCTTGAACAAATTTTCTTTTGACATGAACAATTTGTCTTATGGAAGTGGTGGTATTTTATCATTTGCTGGGCCCTCGGTTTTGTGAACAAGAAAGCTCTTTTTATTACTACTACTGATAGGAGTTTCAGTAGCATTCTCAAAATTCCAAATTGGTTCACTTCATAAAAAAAAAAGTTGGACACTGTTTAAATATTAACAAATGAATAAAATAAAAATATATTTCTTATCAAAAGCTTGAAGGAACTGAAACAAAGAGGGATATGTACTAACCTACACAAGGAAGTATTTGCTTTTGAACAGCAGTGCAACTTAGCACTATCCAGAACTGTTGAAGGTGGTGGATGCAGTGTCACTCCAGGATGAACAGATCTTGAGCTCTCCAAGAAACATTGCCAAAGAGGATCCTGTGGAAGAGGCATTGTTTTACAGCTTTCAATAAGTCCATCCACAATTTCATGTTCTGTTTTCATTGACATCAGTATCCTTTTACAAGCTGTTTGGCAAACATAATCTTCTGCTCTATCACAGCAGTATAAACCTACATAAGAAAGAAAACAAATATTGTTAGTTGTCACCTCTCTGCATTTACAGACTTCTAGTCTAGAATGTAAGCATGAGCAGTCATATCTTTCTCCTCTATTGTTTACTATCTTCTTAAACTGCATTAAATCCTTGTTATAGGATTAATACTTCATTAATCTGGCAAACTGAATTGTTTGTGCTTCAGTATTTTCAGTACCTTGCTTTCAATATATCTGTTCAAGCAACAAAGCATCAGCTTTACTACTTCTTCTGAACAGAAGGAATCTCTATTGTCTTTACTGACTTTTTTTTCTCTCAAGTACACTCTGAAGCCTACTGAGGAGTCTATTTCATGTCTTCAGTCGGCTATTGCTTGAAACAGACAGAAAATGAGACTGACAAACTTCAAGATTGGGTGCAGGCATTAGAGACTGCAATGCCGGCAAACCATGAAGTTTTGTGTTCCAGAATCACTGCTGTGGATTTCAAGTATAAAGGAAAATTTTTCAGATAATGCCTTCCTGAAATTCACAAGGTTCTTGCTTCTTGAGTTTGCCAGCTAAGTCAGGCTTAACTGAATCTTCAATTCTGAAGACTTCTTTAAAAGATGTCATTGTCTATTAAAGAGAGGGGATGTGGCTTTCCAAAATTTGCATTTCTATTAGCTAGTACCAATTTTTGGATGACTTCCCTTAGTGGAAACTCTCCTTCATATGCCCCTCTAGAAAACTCATACATTACACCTTTACTTTGTTGGACTGTTTCTGGATCAAAATACAACAGATTTCAAACAGTTATTCTTACTGTTACAGCCATTCAAAGATCGTGGAACATACAGTATTTTTAGAAAAAGGCATTTTGAACCTTTTTCTCATACTCAGTTCATGCAATGGGATAATCCATATCTCAGAATTAATTTTAAAAAATGATCACATAGAAAAGGTGGGTGGAAGATGAGATTTATCTTGGATTGATAAATAGATGTATTTTTATTGTTTTCTGCTGTAAAGGACAAATATTATCTGCCTAATATGGCTCAGTAATGGTATTTTCAACTACATCTACTAATACCCCAATTTGGACATGCAACATTTTCAGACTCAGAAATATTAATCTACTACAAGTAATTATTAAAAAAGCTTAGAATTATTCTTTTTTATCATGGTTGTTAAGCAAATCATGTGGTCGTTAAGCGAATTCCAGCAAAAAAGTCCACTGGGCAAGCTGGATCCACTTAATGACTTTGTGATTCTCTTAACCACGATTCGCTTAGCGACTGCAGTGATTCACTTAATGACCATTGTAAAAATGGTAGTAAAATCAGGTCTGGTCATGTGGTGACTTGCTTAATGGCTGCCCTGCTTAACAACCAGTATTCTGGTCCCTATTGTGGTCGTTAAGCAAGGACTGCCTGTAAATTGTCATGTTCTTGGATACGCAGTGAGATTAATGCTTCATTTCAACATGATTCTTCCTTTTGAAAAGGAAGTTATTACATATATTAATTTAACTGTGAGAGTTAATATTCTCAGATGTTCCTATTATTTTGAACTTTATTCTTATTGCATGGAAACTGATATCTGGACAAAGAAAATGAATTCTCTATGCCCTATTTATAAATAAAGTAGTTGTTCTGCTCCTTTCCCAGCGGACAGTTCCAGTTTGCGGGGGGATGAGAGGTTGACCTGATGGTCTCTGATATTTGGAGTGCCACATGAGCTGGTCCTCTCTACCTTGCTTTTAAGCATCCACGTGAAGCCACTGAGTGAAGTTATATGATAGTTTGGAGTGCAGTATCATCAATCTACTGATAATACCCAACCTTATATCACCACCCTACACCAGAGTAGAGATACTGTTGACATCCTATCCCAGTACCTAAGGTTGAGAGAACAGACTCGTGTTGGAGGCAAGTAAAACAGAGTTACAAGGGTCCTCTGATGATGCTAGTATTGTCTCTGGATGGACAAGTTCATGATTTGGTGTTCATTCTAGACCTACAGCTGCTGCTAGAACAGCAAGGAATGGCTATGGCTAGAGGAGCCTTCACCCAGCTGGAGCTAGTATGCCAACTGCAGCCCTACCTGATGCTGGAGGAGATGGCTACAGTAACTCATGCCCTCATTTCCACCTGGCTGGCTTACCGCAACCAGTCCAGAACATGCATACTTATCAACTCCCAGTGATGGGAGCATGTAACACCAATTTTGCAGGTTTCCCTGATACAGTTTAAGGTGCTGGTGTTGACCTATAAAGCACTTCATGGACTTGCTTGCCCAATCTATTAGGTCTTATATGAAACAGCTGCTGGTAGCTCTGCACTCCTAGGAGTTAAGGAGAGTGCTGCTCTTCTGTGGCAGCACCATTGCTCTGGAGTGGCCTCCACTTGACATCAGATTCACTTCCTCCCTGCTGGTTTTCAGGAAATTATTGGAAACCCAATTATTTCAGAGGGCATTATCTTGATTTAAAGCATTACATTATTCCTTTTTTAATTATTTTTTCTTGGTGTTCCTTCGGGGGGGGGGTATGACTGCATTCTCATGCATGTTTTAATTGCTGTCATTCTGATTCCTTGCAAACCACTGAGGGTCTTTTGATTGCAGCAGGGTAGAAATGTAATAAATGAACTTATTCTATAGCACTGGAAGGATAAACATATGGCCCCAACTACTCAACAATCTGTATTCAATTAATAAAAAGCAAAATTAAAACACTGAATATTTCTTTGGATTTATACAGTTTGATCAAATCATGAAATTAACATTATTATAAAATAAATAAATAAGAATTGGAAATTGCTCTTTAAAAATCAGTCTACCTCAGGAATACCTCTATTGATTAACAATGGTTCCTCATGTATTAGGCAGGAGTTTTTCCTAACCTAGCTGAAGATAACTTAAGAGTTGTGCATGCATAGCATGTCCTCTATTAAAAGATCTATGGGTTTTCCCTGTAGAATAATCAGAATATTTGTTTTCCTTAATTTTAGAATACAGAATTGTGCAGGGGTTTTTTTTAATTATCCAATAAATGAATTAACAATGCCTAATCTGCAGAAACCTCTTTGTGTTATTTCTATGCATTAGTTGATCAGATTATTGTACGTCAAATTTACTTTGTCTCATACTTACTATCTGTTGAATTTCTCATTGGATATGACTGTGTATAGTTATTCACACAATTCACTAACAGTGGACTCACAGAGACACAGTAACTTTCAAGAGTTTTTATCTGGGAAGGGCCTGGTGAAGTATCTGTTCGAAAGATTGCTTGACAGTATTCCCAGCAATTTGTTTGATGGCCAGCGTAACTGCAGCAAACTGATCCCACTAAGGGGAAAAAAGAGATTTCATAATTAAAAATTATATTTATCTTTGCTGATCAACATAAATATACTATATTGTTCAGAATCTTAGGCACTAACATTGCTCCTACCACTATATAGCAATATTTGGCCAAAAAGTTCCACATTTTGAAACTAAAATATATTGAGATGCAGAAAAAAGAGCACTAAAGTTTAGAGCAAATGCAATCTAATCTGCTTGACAGTCAGCTTGACCAATGTGAAATAGATGTTATATTTTCTTGAAAAATTATTTTAAAAGGTAAAATGAAACCAAGTGGAGAATAAAATGTCAAAATTCAGTCTGTTCGGAAATAAGATACTTACTTTCATTTCTGTTAATACAACTAAAAAGGGTGTTCTAAAAATAAAAACAAAAAGCATAATCAACAGCTACTAGTGAAAAAATTAATGGTAGATATGCTAAATATTTTCCTGATAAACAATATAATTCAAATAAATTGAAATATATTTATTGCCAGAATATTATACAATAACCATGGAAGTCTCCCTCAAAATTTCATTTCCCAAAGCTAAGGAAATATTTTGATACCCTTGAATTAATGAATCAATCATAAGTCAATAATGCAAGAAGAAAACAAGAGTAACAGCTGGACTTGAGTGCATCAGATGAAAATTGGACACAATTTTCAATAACAAAAATAAAAAAGCATTAAGACTTTATTGTTGACTGCAAACAGTAGCCTAAAGTGCCAAACTGAGTATAAGCCTTTCTGAATTTTATTACCTTTCCATTTGTTTCCTTCATACATTTAAAAGTATCTTGGTTCAAATATTAGCAGCCATACTTTTGCATACTAGAATTTATAAGTACTGATGAAGAACTCTGAATAGATAATTAGAATGTGACTAAAATCTTTCCTATTTCTTGAATAGTCATTCTTTTTTTTTCCTTCTGCTCTTTACCAAATGGCTTGAAAACAGTCAGGAGATAAGAAGCAAATTGCAATATTTCATCATCTGCTGAAGTTTAGAAAACATGACTACTATTTAGATACAGTGGTACCTCTAGTTACGAACACCCCTACTTACGAATTTTTCGAGATATGACCAGCTCTGCCCCCAAAAATTTACCTCAACTTGCGAACTCGCCTCGAACCGGATCCATGGCCATTTTCTGCCCGTTCCACGTGGTCCACGGCCATTTTTCCACCCATGCCACGTGGTCCGCGGCCATTTTCCGCCCATTCCACATGGTCCACGGCCATTTTTCCCCCGTTCCACGTGGTCCGCGGCCATTTTCCGCCCGACACGTGGTCCGCAGCCATTTTTCCACCCCTGACACGTGGTCCGTGGCCATTTTTCCACCCGACACGTGGTCCACGGCCATTTTTCCGCCCCGACACGTGGTCCGCAGCCATTTTTCCACCCCTGACACGTGGTCCGTGGCCATTTTTCCACCCGACACGTGGTCCACGGCCATTTTTCCGCCCCGACACGTGGTCCGCAGCCATTTTTCCACCCCTGACACGTGGTCCGTGGCCATTTTTCCACCCGACACGTGGTCCACGGCCATTTTTCCGCCCCGACACGTGGTCCGCAGCCATTTTTCCACCCCTGACACGTGGTCCGTGGCCATTTTTCCACCCGACACGTGGTCCACGGCCGTTTTTCCGCCCCTGACGCGTGGTCCGCAGACACCGGAACGGGTTAACGGTAATTACATTGAACCTTATGGGAA